AGGATTTTTCTTCTTTTCCCATGGATATTATTATTATTATTCCTCAGATAATTTCTTCTCCTTCTTCTTCTTCTTCTTTACTAGAATTTCTATTTCATCTCTCTGATTTTTTCTTCAAATCTCGAATATTTCTCTTTCTTCCAATTATTTCTTCTTCTTTCTCGGATTTTTTATTTGACCTCCTCCTTTCTATTATTTCCACGAATTTCCTTCGACTTGCTCTTACTTTTTAGTATTCATCTTCGGATCTTTTCTTCTTTTCCTTCTGACCTTTTCTTCTTCCTCGGATCTTTTTTTTTCCTCAGATTTTTTTTCTTTTTTTCTGCATTTCTTCTCCTCCTCCTCGAATCATTTCTCCTTTTCTCTCCGTTATGTTATTCTTCTCTCTCGCAACTTTTTTTCTTCTTTTTCGGATCTTTTCATCCTTTTCCTCGGATCTTTTGGCAGACAATGTTAAATGCGATGACCGGAAATAAGAAACTAACAAAATGCACCCCAGCTCCATTACATTTAATTACGCCCCAAAACAAAATCGGATGAATCTTATTTTTTGCTTCTAGAATTGGGAAACACCGTAAAGTGACTGAGAAAAGACACGGCTAATTGACTCGAAAAAAAAAACTGCGATTTGTCTTCCCGATGTCTTTTAAAGAGAAACATGATTACCATTCTCTCAAAACCACGGCTAAGCCATTATTTAGATTTTGATAAACTTCCTTTTTCTTTATAACTTTTTGATTTTTGATGAACCTATTTTGATATATAATTTACTACTTTATCGCCCCAATAAATTTTAAAATACACCATTTTTTATTGGTTTGCAAACGTCCACGCTTTCTGTACTCTAGGGACTTGACGAACTATTCTGGGTAATTATTTATTTTTTAAAGACTTCTAATATTTATATTTCCAAGTCCTTCATTCGATCATACTATTTTATCTTGTAGATAAAGTACACCCCACCCACTTACTTCTATGGATCGTCTCATATCGCTGGATCGGGGTTATTGAAATTTCTCTTTTTTTTTCTCAAGTGATAATTCCCATCTGGTATTTTAAGCCATTCGCCAATGATAATGTTGGTCATTTATCAAATACCACTTTGCTGGTGGGGGAGATTTTTTTTTACACATGAAATGTAAATATCCAGTTTATAAGACTGCAAGCAGCTACAAGTAACTGGCTTGCAAAAATTGTCATGAAAAAAAAGAAAATCTGCTGTTGATTATAAAGAAAATATTTTTATGGTTTCAATGTAAACCAAAGGAAAATCAATAAAACCGTCTTTTGGAGTTTTATCAAATATTTCATACCTTCAAGAATGTGTTTTACAAAAGTTTACCCATCCTGATAGACAAATTCTTAGCATAGGTACCTCCACGTATTCGCTAAAAAAAGAGCATAGCTTGATGAAAAAGACGCCAAAATTGCCGAAAACTAAATTTTATTGTCTAAATGCTTATGTTATTATTAAGAGGAAAGACCAATCTTTTTTTTAATTATTTTTAAAAAATGTTCCTTCTTTTTAGAACATTCTAAATTTTGATTAAAAAAACTTTTTTCTATTTGTATCAGCGGAACTAGTAAATAACATAGACAATTTTTAGCACGTTTTTTTGGTATGACACACATTAATTTGAAAAATCGTGCAAAAATAGAAATAATTATCAGATGTTAATGAAACTTTCAGAAACTATTCACAGATGATCGAAATTATTATAAATATGTTTTTTTTATGAAAGTCATGGTAGAAATATTTTTTTAAAAATATTTATTACCCCCCATAACTAATTTTATGAAAACGCTAGAAATTCGATCGCATCGGTTTTAGTGATTACACAGGGCTTTGAGGAATGCAAATCATGTTCTTTTTGTTTTTAATTGGATATGCAGTACCTGAAAATCAGCTCTGAATTGTAACATACAAAACTCAATAAAACAAATATATTATTTAATTTCAAATGCTTTTTTATTTGCTTTTTAGTTGTTTTTATGAATATGGACAATATTTTCTGAAAGCAAAAAATTTTTTCGATAAAAAAATGAATTTTTAATACAATTATTTGTTATTTCATTAATTATAATAGATTTTACATTTAAGTTGTTAAAATATTATAAAATTAGTTAAAAGCCGCATCGGCTTTCATAAGTGTCCTTATGAGATAGATCTTTTTTTTAGTGCGTTGTAAATTGTATCATTTTGACTCATCAGAAGATACCCAGTAATTAAGAAATGTAATTTTGTGCTTATAATATAGCTGTAATTATAAAATACGGAAGACCAACCAGAATATAATTAAGTTGCGTTATTTGAGTTAAGCATTGTTCTCCGCTGTTAAGGCCTTTACTTTTGTGAAACACGTGTGGAGAAGTTAATTTGATTTTTCAATTTCAACTGAGAGGGTTACCTACAAGTATCAGTATCATCTTATGAAATTTATATGATCTTATTTTTATATTAATCTCAGTTACGACATTTTTCCATAAATGAAATATCAAAATTAATAATAAAATGAATGTAAATACAAATAACAGTAGAATGTAATAAATTTACATAAAATTATAGTATTTTATGTAGAATTCTGATAAAATTTCATAAGAAAGGTACCTATAAATTAATTAGATACCTTTCTTAAGAAATATGAAATTTAATGTCACTCTTAACAGTTTTATTTTAATTTCTTTACAATATATTTCCCATAAAGCATCATAAACGTAAAGGTGAAAGCTAAGTACAAAAAAAAAAAAAATTAGACCGCTGAAAGTTTTCGTTAAAAATAACGGGGTAAATAATTTGTTCACGTAAATGTAAATTATTTCACTTTTCTCCTTCCGTAGAACAAATTAGCCTCATGGAATTCGTAAATATATCATTCATCACGTGTCAAGAGACGCGAAAGTTTATGACCTGCTTTGTTTTATTTTCAAATTACATTTTTTTGGCACAAAAGCTAAGTTGAGTTTGGTTCAAAATATTTTAAATAAACATTATAATTTCTGATTTTCTTAAAATAAGTTTTGAAAAAATGATAATTGATATTTAAAAAAAATTTCAAAGTCAGATTTCAGTTTTTTTAAAATGAAAAAAAATGGTCAATTTTGCTGACTCAAAAAAAACTAGATTTTTAACGAAAATTTCGGACGTGCTAGGAACGATTAAAAAATGGAAAAAAATACCCCAAAAATATTTTGAACTTTCCTCTTAATAATAACCAACATTTAGACGATAAAATTTTGTTTTCATCAAGTTTGGCGTCTTTTTCATCATGCTATGCTCTTTTTTTAGCGATCTCGTGGAGGTACCTATCTTAGCAGTAGTAGAAATGGAGACGAACTTCTCGGCATTATTTTCATCTAAACCGAAGGATATTTTCAAATGTGATTTTATGAAACTTTTCAATGATTGGAAGTTATGAATAATGAAAACGTTAATTTCAGACTTTAATAACTTATACAATGATATGTTTCTTAGTCAACGTTTTTCGACTATATTTTTTTATTATTCTGCTCCGAGGATTATTGCATTTGCAACTTATAGATAATTACTATTTTTCTTTAAACGTGTCATCTGTTAAATTTTGTTTTTGTTTAATAGTTTAATTTTTATATGTTATATCCATTATACTATTTACATTATTCGGACTATTGTCCTCATATTTGTTGCCATATTTATTTTTAGACAGATACATCCATTATATTTTAATATAACTTTTGTAGTTTTATTTTCAAGGTTCTTCCCTTGTTTCCTGTTTAGGATTGGGTTTCCCGTTCCTTCTAAAGTCTACTTCGACGCTATATTTCTAACATCTCCACTCGAACTTTTATTTATTATTTTTTCTCTCAAAACGAGTTAATAGGTTCGCCTATCGTTCGGTTCACACTCCCTCCCGGTATCTGAACAGGAGTTGACTTTTATCCCTTGTTTTCTGTTTAGGATTTGGTTTTCCGGTTGCTTCTAAAGTCTTTTTTAAAATCTTTCACTTCCAGTAGCCCTTTTCGTCTTAGTAACATTATCACCTTGCTTGGGGTGAATTGATATTTAAAAAAAGTGTAAAAATAACAGAACACTTCTAATTTTATTGTTCCGAAGAGGATGGAAATATACTTTGTTATATGATCCACAATTTACTTAATTTATTGAAAAGATTTATTTTTATTATAACTTTAATAAAGACTTTTATTATAATTGTATTTATTGAAAAGATTTATTTTTATGAATTCTTTTCATCTGTTCCCAATATTTACCGGATTCGAAAGAAAAAGAAATTTAATTTGGGTAAAATCTCTGACTGGTGTTGTTCGGGCAGTATATCGGTTATCGCCACTAAAAGTAGAATCGCTATCCCGAGTTCAAATTTCGCAACATTCACTTTCTCAGGAATGCCGTTGGAGAAGGTAAAATTAACCCATCAGTATCTGATTTCAAAAGCGTATAAAAAGAAATAGGTGGCCACTCTTTACCCACAGAGTGTCATGGCAGCCCGCAGGTGAAAGAAATCTACGAAAATCTCTGATTGCCCACATCTTGAATATAGCTTCTTAAATGATTGATTCGTTTCCTACGGTTTATCAACCCTTCCCATGTTATTTAAAGCAATATAGTCATAATTCGAATTTTACCTACATATATACATGGGGTCCTCGACTTACGTTCCTACGATGCGACGTAAAGCTATTTTCCGTGTAAGTTGGAACGTAACCGCGATTTTCCTCGAATAAGCACATACGTCACTCACCAATTTTAATGCAATTTTGATTTAATGATTTGTTTTTTTACAGCTTGTCAACCCTTTACAGGTTATTTAAAGCCAGGACATATTTTAGATTGTAAGAATTTTGGTGGAGATAATAATGATTTAGTGATACAAGTTTTACTAATTAACCCATAGCTGGGGGATTCATTTCATTTCCAATGTTATTTACGCGTAAGCGAATATAACGAACCCAACTGAAATTAGAACTCTCCGATTACACATTACAATACCCGCACATCCGAGTTTGAAGCACCTGATATTTCCAACCGGTCACTCAAATAGGTACTGACCAGGATCGACATTGCTTAACTTCGTTGTTCGTACGGCAACCGGTGTTTTAACGTGATGTGGCCGCAAGCTGAATTGTACATAGGGCTAATCACAGGTTTTTAAAGATAAATAAATGAAAATATGTATTTATTTTCTACGTGATATGGCTGTAAGCCGGTGGATGTCTTTAAAATATTCTCAGATATATCTTTATTTTTCAAAGATATTTTTTATTCGATTGATTACCAAATCCAAAGAATGTTCGACAGTATTTCTATAGAATGGCAACTTGTAACGTAATTGTAATGTCCTCAAAAATATGGATTTAATCGTATCGTCCAGGATAGCAAATAAATAATCGAAAACAATGGCTGAAAATGTATTACTTTCCGTCTTATTAAATTTATACGGTCGGCCATCTTAAAACATTTCATGTTATTCGTTCATTCCGTGTTTCGCTTCATTTTTCTAATTATTTTCAAACTGAATCTTTATCGGGAAATTCAACATATTTAATATGGTTTCTAAGCTGAATTCTTTTACTCTTTTTCCAATCTTGTTCACGTTTAGTAGTCTATCTATAAATAGATCTAATTTACTTTCCTGCTTGTCTAGAAGAAAATTATTTCAAGCTGCTTATCGCCGTCATAGAATCCATACGAATTCCAATGATCCACTGGCTTCTTGTTCATTTCTTCATCATTAGCGGTTTAAACATTCGACAACAAACGCAGTATTGAAATGGGCGGCTATTCAGTTTCGTTCTTTTGTAGTGGAACTATTGCAGCTGCTCTTGTCTGTGTGTCGCTATATGTGTGTGTGTCTCTCTTTGATACAATGTGTCTATGTGTCCATCTGAATATATATACCAGTGTTTACAATCCTTGTATCTTTGATGATATCTCGTATGCACAATGACTTAAATCAATGCTTTGCATTCACTTATTAAATTGTACACGAAAAAAACATTCCTTCGCACTTAAGTTTATGGATTCGCATTTAACTTTCAATTTCTCCATCATTTCTCATTATTTTTCCATTACTCAGAAATATAAAAAAATATATACTGAAATAGTGTTGACTTTTCTGGGACTAAAAGTTTCATTTGTACTCGCAATTCGTTAATCGACTGTACCACGACCTTCAGGCTGTTAAAAGTACAAGTTAGGGAATTTTATATATTTAATATATAAATAAAGTTAGAATATAAATTTTGAATTGAGTATCTTGTCCCTTGAACCACTTGAAGATTGTTAGACAGCCGTATAGTAAGTTGCGGAAAGGGAATATTATTTGAGCACTATATATATATATATATATATATATATATATATATATATATGCAGGGTGTTCAAAAATAGTTTTACAAATTGTGGGGGGTGGGTTCCTCACACCAAAACAAAGACAAACGTCCATATTAATCGTAAACTGATAGTGGTGTTTAGCCTGCATTGCTCCATGGGAATTTCGATCCACACACAACTATTCCTTGTGTAAATTTGTTATTTCATCTCTTACAAACGTCTCATCCGTTAAACAAGACTAAAGAGACTTTAACAAGTTAGGGATTATGTAGTAGTAATCCTGATTTGATATTATTTGAGTTTTGTTAATGTAATTAACCCTTTTCTATACGTATTTGTATTGTAAGAGGAATCATTTTCTGTTGTTTTTTATTTTACATTGAAAACGAAATGAATTAAAACAACAATAACATAAACAATGAAAACTTGAGATACGTGTTGATATAAATAGCAAGAAGTTGTATTTTCTTTTTGTGATATGAATTACAGAATATGGGTAGTGTGTGTAAAATATTTTTTCAGTGAGTTTTTTTTTTAAGAGTCAGTAATTTCTTCGTTTCGTTCGAAGAATTTTGTTTGTGAGGAGTGCGTTTGAAATCGTCTGTTTTCGATCTTCACGGAGTGCTACTGAAGTCGTGACTTTCTTTACTACTACCAATACTACTTGTCTACTGGTCTACTACTATGGGTTCCCTAGTCGACGCAAATCTACTCAACTTTACTCTATTCGACTAACTCTCTTGATATTAAAATATTCTTCTTTTCTTTCATCACTGATAACGTTATTTTTAGAATGATGAAATAGTTTTATTTTTATCATCACTGATAGCAAGCTTACTTTTAAAATGATGAAATATCATCATCATTCTAGACCATAACATGACAAAAAACGGAACGACAGTTTGTGCAATAAACGATCAACAAATGTTCTCCGGTAGTGAGTGATCAGGGAAGAAAAGACCCGCCACGATGCAAATGATTCAGGGGCTGTACTATGAGATGTACGACATGCTAGAGCCACTTGACGTATGCTGATACCTAGGTCGTCTGTAACAGCTTGTAGAATGTGTTCTTCATGGCCAGGTATTCGAGCTGATATGGGTGATTCTCAATCCATAGATTATAGAACCATGGATCCAATCTCAGCAACGCAATTATAAACAGCAGTTTGGATGACACGGCTGACTTCGGTCTGGAAACGTAATACAGTTGCGCATCTTCGCGTCCATTACCATTCGCACGACCGTATGAAAAAATTCTATCTGCCAGCTTACTCCATGAATATCCTGACATTGTTAAACGAAATATCCTGACATTGTTAAACGTTAAAGACAGACTAGCAATAAATATACACGAATTCAATTAATTGTGTATGATACACCTAATTTACATAACGGACAGACGACCATATAAATATGGGTTGGTACCGGAAGACGGGGAAGATAGTAGAGATTAAGAAATTGAAATACTCATTATGCAGGAACAGTCTTCCCAAATATACCAATTCTTTGTTTCAATACATTTTGTTAACGTACATTTTGTGTTGTATTAATGCTTATTTAAGTAACCTAGTCAATATAGCAACACAGCACCATCTATCGTAAATTTTCTTTAAACTTAATACCTCTTGTAGCGTTTCCGTTCATATATTTTTTTTTATTTTGCATCGAGCATTGTTCTTATAGCGGCCTTCTTTGTTTAAGTAAACAGTATACACACACACACATACATTTTAACATGACCTTAAAATTAGAGGAGGCTTACAATATTGAAGAGAGAATTGGGGGAAGAAAAGAAGGTAGGTTTACCTGGCTCTTTAAGTTCATATATATATATATATATATATATATATATATATATATATATATGAAGCAATATAGTCTTAAGATGTGCTATATTTATGGGATAAAGTGCTCAATATCAGAGATAGAGCGTGTGTAAATATAAAAGTGAACATAGAAGTCAACAATTAGAGGCGACTGTCTGTTTCATGCTAGATGCAATCCCCAGGCCATGAGTGCTGCTATTTTTCTCGGCTATTTATATATACGGGTCATTGGTGCATTGTGGGTAGTCTATTTTGGCGGTTATTTTACCGGAAGTCGTTTATTTGTTTATTTATTTATTTGGGTTAAATTATTTTGCATGTTTTTATTTATTTTTTATTTTTTTTATTTCTTATACATTTATTTATTTTATTTTAGTTTTTAATCGGTGTTTTTATTAACGTAGTAAAAATTTGTTTATATCGTTTATTTAATAGTTTTGTTTTGGTTTAGGAAGATAATTAAAGCTATTTATTCAATTTTGGGGTTGATTGTTATAGTTTATTCTAACTATTATTTTGGCGGGAACAGTTTTTAATTTGTTTATTACTTTATGTATTTATTTGGATTGATTATCTTTATTTATTTTTTCTAACGGTTAGTTTATCAGGATCAGTTTGTTAGTTTATTTATTTATTTGGATGAATTTAGGTCAATTTATTTTACTTGTTATTATTTATTTGTTATACTGTATATTTTCTCTTTTCGGTTTTAAAATATATGCAAAAACAATATTGCATTTTTATTAAATAAATATTTGTTATTTTGATCATTATATTATTTTTAATACAGTGGTAGTAATTTGTATTTTAAATGATATAACTCTTAATTTATAAAAAAAATGCACCCTAGTAAAACCAACTGCACTTTGTACATCCATAACTGTTTGCACTTCTCCGCAAAATCTGGTTTCGATTGGTCAATGTATGGCTATTTTAGAGGATGTGACGGACAGACTAACGGAAGTCACAGACTTTTATATATAAGATTGATGACAACAATGACAAGGAAGAGTGTTAAAGAGACAAAAGTGATTTAGAATAAGTTGCAGAGAAGCATGATCGCAATAGAAGAAGAAATAATAAAGAAATGAAGAAAATAAAAATAAATTAAGAGTATGAATGCTCTTGATTCTGAGAGCTTCCAAAATGACCCAATTCCATCTGCAATGCTCTTCTTTTTTTTTTTACAAGAGCCAGATAAAACCAAAAATGGAACATTGCTTTCACGCCTGGGTTAGTTCTGCCAATTCCTCAAATTTCTGTCTGTGGGTGAGGAATTGTTTTCTTGTCCAAGAAATGAAATATTTCTACTCTGTCACCCGTCACTCTATCGCTATTCTTAAGAAAGGTGTTCAAGTGAACTACATTATTTGATTTCACCAGTCCTGACCGCCACAGCTCGGATACGTAAACTCAGACAGGTTCTTCTTCTTCAAAACTGTTGCTTTGTGGAAATGCAAAAACGCTCTGAAGATATTGAACAATTTATGTGATTAATTCTACCTACAAACAAGAAACAATGAAAATGTCTGGAACCATTAAAAAATGGATTTAAAAATGTCTTAAATAATTTTCTTGGGTATTAACCAAACTAGAATAAATATATACACAGAGTTGAGTGACCCGCCAATTTCAAGTTATGGGGTCGTCAGAGTTCAGTTTTTTTGGGTTTTTTTTAGAATTGAACGGTCAGAATATTCACACATATTATTTGTTTATGAAAGTCAAGGCTTTCGGAAAAACTGATAACAGACAAATGGCGCACTGGGTGCCACGATATCTCCAAACAGCACTACTAAAGTTTTGAATTCGGAAAAATCTTTTTCTCCCAGAGTTATTGTTAACCAAGGCTGGAGATTCCAGTCTGGCATGGTATTTAATCCATACACGGTGGGGGAGACCCGAAAGTATACATTTTCTAAAAGTATTTATTTGAAAAAAAATGTAACGAACTCA